AATGATAGATGTACATCAATAAATGAGAGGGTTATAATATAAAACAAATCAACACAGGGCCAAAAATTTTATCCTGTCAAACATTCCAAAGCAAAATTAACAAAATTATAAAGCACGATGAGGACCATGGGCACAAGCATCTATAACCCTTATCCAAATTTGTAATGCAGACAGAAAAGCTGCTTACAAACTTGCTTTTTACTCAAGATGTGTCCAATGATGCTTATGTTTATTGCAGATAAACTTTTGATGTCTCATTGTGGATGATGGGTCACAAATTTTCACTAGCAAAATAAGTAATTAATCATGCCATCAATACAAACCATTGAGATCCAACACTAAACAAAAACTAATTTAAAGAAATAAATTCCAAGGAACCTAAACAAAAATAGGGATTTGAAAGCAATCAAAGCCAGGACCTTTTAAATTAAGATCAAAAAGAGATGACCGCTCTCGTATATACCATGATTCATGGAAGTGGCGATAATGGGTGATAGCATTGGAACATACTTTGTCAACCCGAACACTTTCAACACTAATACCAGGTATCCAAATACAGCTCCCGGTAACTCATGATCCAGCGAAAGGAAAAAGGAACCTCTAAAAGTCAATGACAACTCATGGATCAACCATAATCATAGAATATCCAAACTAACCTTCATTGCAAGATGCAAACAATGTTAACCATCAGCAGAGTTGATAATATAGGTCAATCCGTGACCGCAATAGACTGTGAGCTTGGTGAGACAGATTAACATAACCTATATATCGTGCTGATTATGTTTTTGCCAATTACAATAGGTTGGTGGGTCAATGGACTAAGTCCAACCCACTAAAAAAAATTCTTTATATACATTTTTTCTAATTTTGAAAACTATAAATTTACTTCTTTTATTTTTTTACGGTGAAAAAATCAATTTTTTAATAAAAACTAATTATCCAAATAGCAATAAAACTCATTCTAAATCATTAAAAAAAATACAAATTGAAAATATATTAACACGGTGAAAAATATATTTATTAATCACAAACATCTATGGTAAAAAGTTTAATTACAATCCAAAGCTTAAAGATTTATCTTGGTCAATCATAATGTTAAAGCTTTATTAGAAGCTACTATAACATTAATTTGAGTAGATTTCTCTGACATTTCATTTGCCACAGACAAAAAAAAATAAAACATAATTAAACATAAAAATATAACTAACTGAGTCTAGAAAATAAATGAGAAAATATAGCTATCACGATGCAAAGATTTTAATGTCTTTCCTTTTATTTTTATTGACATAACTAAATTGCTTTTCCTTATATATTGTATAAAATAAAAAGTGTAACTTGGTATATTAATTTCGTTTATATTATATGTTGATATTGATTTTGGCAACGAAATTCATTCTTTATTTATTTGTTGTCTGAATGAAGGCTTCCTACCCTCTAGTGAAGGTTAATTAGTTTAGTTGTTAAGAATACATCACAACACCTCGAGTTTGGTTTTGATTTTGGACGGTCAAGCTTAACAATTTTTATTTTATAATCATTAAAATAAAATTATAAAAATTAATAAATCTATTTTATTATTGATATAGATCTATAGATTTAATCTTTGGCCCATTTAATATTAAAATTTTTTAGAATTTTTATGAATTAATATCCAGAATAGTCTATTTAATTTTAAATTTTTGGCGGGTTTGAGAGTGATTTTGTAATTTGTCTTTTTAAAAAAAAATAAGCAGTCTGTGAGTTCAAGCTGTGTAGGGCAATTTTGGTCTGCTTTGCATAAAAATGAACCCATTTTTTTAACCAAATTTGCATTTTTTTATGGGTTAGTAGGGCTTAGCTCATATTATTACTTATTATAAAACAACAAGACATGCACAAAAGAAAAATAAGAACCAAGATGCAATACAAAAACCTACCAATCCAAGGGAAAACCAAGACATGAGGCATGTTTGGGTTTGGTCTATCAAGATTTAAGGGGCTAAAAGCTAGTTATGATAAATTCCTATACGCTTCTTACCAAAAATGAAAACTTCTGTGCTTGGATTATTGTTTCACTCAACCATGTTCACAACAATGACTTAGGTTGAATTAGAAGCAGCTTACACAGAGTTTTTATCCACATTCTTGCTTGTAAATTCTGGGTTATAAAAAATGCAATTTTACAAAACTAATCCAAACACATAAATGATTAGTATTATAGATAGAATCAGTCATTCGAATAGATCGGGCTTAAGTATCATACCATTTAAAAAAGCTCATATAACTAAATCTGGCCATAATACCTTCAAGCTTTAGCCTTATTTGAATCGACTCGAATATATAAAATATTTTAAAAATATTTTTTCTTTATTTTTAAACCAATTTTATGTTTTTAATAATTTTATTAAGCATAAAATATTAGTTTAATTAAAAAATAAATAAATAATAATTTATTAACTTTGTACTTAAATAATTATATTACCATTTTATTATATTATATGTAATTTATTCACAAATATTTTCTTTATTTGTAAATTAATGTATTAGTTGTTTAAATATTACTCTTATCATGGTCATGTATAAATATTATGTATATTTTAATTAAATTATATTATTTTAATTATGATTAAATTGATCTTATTCAATTATGGTTAGACCACTAACTTAAAATAATTTTTTCCAATTAATTTAAAATTTTTATAACTTCTAGGTAAACTGTATTTTTCATATATATATTATACAAAACAAAATCATTAATTATGAGTAAAATACTATTTTTTTAAAATTATTGTTTCTTTTAAATTTTTATATTGTTTAACCCCTACATACAAAAGAATTTACTCTATTTACTCTTAATTTTTAACCAAGATTGGCATGAACGATAATTAAATAATTATTCAAAAATATTATTCTATTTATTATGTTTATTTAGTAGTAGAATCAGGATTCATACATCCCCAAATTTTATTTTTAAAATTTTTTAATTAAATTTTTACTTTAAAATTAATTATCTTATTTTATAAAAATATAAATACTCTCTCTCGTTAAAATATGTAAGGCATTTTTTATTGAATCTTACTTTCAATAAAGTAATTACCTACTTTCAAATAACATTATCTTATTTTTATTCAACTCTACTAAACTCCCTACAATAAATATAAAGTATTATTAATAGGTACATTTTTTTAAAAAAATGTGATGATTATACCTCAAAAGATTAAAAATGCCTTATATTTTTTAACATTCAACTCCTCAAAAATACCTTATATTTTTTGATAAATGAGGTATATTTTTTGGATACTCACATGATATATAGGGCTCAAAACTTTTTAAAAAAATTTGGTCATAAAATATAAAAACATAAAAATTAATATTAAATGTATTTTAAATATTATTTTGAGATATTTTATTGATTAAAATAATAAAATATGCAAATATAAATTTTTTTATTTTTTTAAAAAATAACTATGATAACGCACTCAAATATATGATATTTTATTTCTTTAACATAAATAAATTTAAAAAATTAATTAATATTTATTATATATATTAAATTTTTTTATTCGGGTATTCGGACCTATTCAGGTCAGCCCAAAGAGGCATGAATATTAAAATTTAGGTTTAACCGTAAATTTTTTAAGTAAGTTCAAACTAACTCATCAGACTTGATCCACATTACCATCCCAAATTGCATGGACCCTCCACCCTACCAACTTAAAGAAGCAATAACATAGTGATTGGGTGGTTGCCGCCAAAGCTCATTTGGAAACATCCACGGGACCATTTAGAATTAGAGTTACTCCTTCAAATATTTCGTATTTCCATTGCTCAACAAATTTCACTACTCCCATTCACTGACCTTCAAGCCAACTTGTGTTGCAGTACTAATATCTAGATGCTTGCTTGTGATCCTCCGAATCATCTTCATCATCTTGTTGCTGTCACAGATTTATGCATGAGATTCCATCGAATTTATAATTCACTGGCCTTCTTCAGCTTCGACCCATCAATCATGGTGTCACAGTCCTGCATATTTAGATGAAGTTCACCAATATTTTCGTGTCATAATTGGATTTGATCTGGCTCTATTTTTAGTTATTTTCATTGCATCCATCCAAACGCAAAAGGGTGTCATGTTCTAGATTTAATGAAGCTCCGACAAGTTATCTTGAGAGACAAGTCACAGAAATTTATCAGCATTGAATATATTAATAAATAATTCATAGCTTTTAGGAAAGCCATCAACGGGGCTACATAGAACTGCATGTGTAGTGGATTCTCACCGTGATTTTTGACTCTGTGTTTTTCCCCATTTATACTCTCCCGATGCACAAACGGAGAACAATGACGGCATACATCAATAAATAAGAGGGTTAAGGTAATGTTTGGGAGTTCTTTTTAAGATGGAATTGAAGATATAAAACAAATTAATTTGGGGTCAAAAAATTTATTCTAACAAACATTGCAACGCAAGATTAAAGAATTCATAAAGCATGACGATGATCATGGGCGCAAGCATCCCTTACCCTCATTTGATAATTTGAATTCTGTAGCGTTACAGAAAAACCACTTATAAACCCACTTCATAATTATAACGAGTCCAATGATGCTTATGTTTATTGTGAATAATCTTTTGATGTCTCATTGTGAATAATGGGTCGCAAATTTTTGCCATCAAAACAAGTAAATTAATCATGCCTGATAGATTCATTGAACAAATTAAACTGTACTAATAAACCCCAACCTGGAAATGCAGAACTATGAACAATATACAATGAACAATAGTTCCTTAATTCATGTCTCTGACAAAACCAGTGAATTCCTTAATTCCGATGGGCCCATGCGTTCTCACACGGCTATGACTGCCGCCACAGAGGAACGCGGTTTCCGTGTGAGCTTAAATTATTTATTCATTGAGTGCTTTCAAAAGTTATTGCTCTTGTCACACCACTGCCGTACTTCATGTCCAAGCTTGCCACACAATCAGATCAGATCAAATCGCGTTCACTTTTGTTTTCCCCCCCGCATCGTCTTTAGTTTCCTTCAGTCAGAATCATCAACTCATTTTACCTTGATTCATCAATCTAAAATCAACAAGTTCATTCATTAATTCTCTAACTAGCGCAGTCATTAATAATTTTGTAAACTGGTCCTATTCATAAAAAACAACCCAAAATAAAGTCCGAATCTCACACAGATATAGTGAGGCGGAATTTTGCTTTCAGCTTTCATAGCAAATCGCCAAAAATTCAAAACCCTTCTTTTCCTTCTGTCCAGATTCCAAAACCTCCCATCTCTCTAATAACCCTCCCCAAAACCTTTCATGAACTAAAACCCCGAAGGAAGTTTTCGTTCTCGACGGAAATCCCAAAATGGTTATGACCAGAAAACCTTCCTCTCTCCACTGCGTGTTTCTCTTCACTGTTATCGCGCTCCTTCTTCGTCGTATTTCAGCTGCGGACAACACAGACTTGGTCTTCAAGGGCTGTGCAGACCAGAAATTTCAAGACCCGTCTGGGATTTACTCGCAGAACCTCAAGTCCTTACTGGGCACTCTCGTCGCACAATCTGCTCAAAAGGTTTTCGCCTCTACAACCTCCGGCAACGGCCAGAATGCGATCATGGGTCTGTACCAATGCAGAGGGGACCTCTCAAACTCCGACTGCTACAAATGCGTGAGCAAGATTCCCGATATGCTCGACAAGCTCTGTGGCCAGGTTGTGGCGGCGCGTGTCCAGCTCAATGGGTGCTATTTGCGGTACGAGATCATCGGGTTCAAGCAAGTCTCTGGGACTCAGTTGCTGTACAAGGTCTGTGGGTCGATTCAGGCAAGTGGAAGCGGGTTCGCAGAGAGAAGAGACACAGCGTTTGGGATGGTGGAAAATGGAGTGAAAAGTGGAGGAAGCTTGTTTTACACTGGAAGCTACCAGTCTCTGTATGCGTTGGGGCAGTGCGAAGGTGATTTGTCTAGTGGTGATTGTGGGGATTGTGTGAAGAGTGCTGAGGACCAAGTTAAATCTGTTTGTGGTGACTCAATTTCTGCGAAAATTTATCTTCAAAAGTGCTTTATCAGTTACAACTTTTATCCCAATGGAGTGCCTGGGAGTGGCGAGTCACCATCTTCGTCCTCAGGTAAAGCTGTAGGGAGATCTCTTTTCTTCCCTCACTCTGAAAATGCTTCAATATCTGTTTAATTGTAATTCAGTGCTACATTTCTCACCTACTTTGGGCTTTATATGATCAGAAGATCACTTCATCTGTTTTTGTACATGTTAGTAATTGGAAAATAGAAATCAAGGAGTAGGTCCTTTTTCTGGAAAAAAGAACTGACCATAATATTATATTTGTTAGGACGATTTGTTAACCCGCGCATCTTGATCTAAAATTTTAGAGTATTATTATATACTTCAACTGATCATCTTGGCTCATGTATTTCCATCAATATTGCAATATAGGGTCTGATAACTAATGATGATATAGGCTAGTTTGTCTCATTTGTTCAAACATTGGACCAAACTTTATTTGAAAATTTGAGAAGTATGTTAGGGTGTCGAACTGGTAGGTATCTGATCTATTTTTGTGGGTAAGTTTGAAATATCTGGCTCGCTGTGGTAGCATTTGAAGTGAAGATTTTAATGGCTCTCCATATTGTGGTTGCTTTGCTTGGCATCAGGAATGGGGCAACACAATACGCAGAGGACGGTGGCTCTTGCGGTAGGGGTTTGCAGCTCTGGGATTCTTAATCGCTTGTTTGTTATTTGTAAAATCAGCGTTAAAGAAGCGAGGTGGTAAGCATTGATGCTGCGTAGTTTGATTCTGTATATGCTGATACTATGATACCTCACAGGTTTGGTTCATATTTAGTTTTAACATGTTAAAGGAATATACTTTTGATTGACCCTTCTGTATAGTTACATGACTGAAGGGGTTGGAAAGGAATTTCTTATTATTCCTTCTGAATTGGGTTAGGTTCAACTCGTGGAATCAATGAAGGAAGTGCTTTGTTAGGACAAAAGATCATTGAGTGATGTGTGATGGATAGATTTCTGTCCCCACTAACACAGACATGGCTTTTAGTCATGACTTGTCTTCCTCATAGCTGTTGAGCATTGGATTAAAAACTGTTCTAGATTTTTGGTCTTAAATTTGGACATGGATTTTTGAAGTTCAATTCCCTCTAGCTGAGAATGATTGGCCTAAGAAGTAAGAATATACTAACAATCAGAAGTGAAACCTAGTGAAAGGGATTCAGTTCCTCTTGAATAAAGTTGTGGGTTTGAATCTTGTGCATACAAAATAAAATCACTTTAGAGAGCTATTTCAATTAATACTTTTGCTTGTCGTCGTCCTTTTTTTTTTTTTTTTTACCTTGGAAGTTTGTCATCTTTTTTAACTCCTGTTTCATATTCAAATTCGTTTAGGAAAAAATGGCATATAAATTCCTCTTAAATGAGGAAATAATAATTTGATCTCGTGAAATGTGATAATGACAATGAGATTTCAAGAGAATTCTTTAAGATTAAATTTTTATGTGAAATCACTTTAGTATCCTTTGCAATTTAAAAAGTTGTGATTTTATAAATTGTTTTAGTCATTAGTAAAATCAAATTTGCAAACACTTATGTTAAGTTTGTAAAATATACAAAATTAGTTGAACTTTGCTTACATGAACTTGTGTTTTTCTAAATTGTTTTAGTTATTAGTGAAACTAAACTTGCAAATACTTATACTAAAGTTATGAACCATATAAAATTAGTTGGATTTTGCTAAATGAAAAAAACCTATTGATAGAAAGTTATAATTTCTTAAATCGTTTTATTCATTGGTGGAACTAAATTTATAAATATTTATAGCAAATTTTTGAGCAATATAAATTAGTTTTGGGTATTTAAGTAATTTCACATAGAAATTTAATCTTAAAGAAGTCTCTTGAAATTTTATTGATATTATTATATTTTGCGAGATCAAATTATTATTATTTTATTTTTGAGAAATTTATCTGTCATTCTTCCTGCATTTTAATTCTCAAATGCAGTCTTAAATTCCTATTTTGACATTTCTTGGAATGCCTATTGTCTCAAAAATTGTACATTGTGTTCTTTTACTACATTTTGCATTTGTGATTGGAGTCAAACTTAAAAACATGAGAGATGAAAAGGGGAACTCGAATCAGAAGTTTATAATTGGTATGTAGATATATGGTCTGTTATATTGTGAAATTTCACTCCGTTTTTTTTTTAATTATATAGTGACTTAATTGTAACGCTAAAGAATGCTATTGAATATGAGATTCAGATATCATATGATCGAACATGTTGAAGAAGTATAATCCCAGGCTGATGATTTAATGTTTGTGTCAGTTTTGTCACTATTTTTTTCAATAATGACTACGACAGATGCTTCCCACGTCCTCACTATTTGTATATTATAATTCAAAATAATATTTCTCGCTTGAATGACTCATCTGACGTGTTTGCAAGTTGGAAGTGGCAATCATGTGGATTTTCTTAGCAGCGTAATAGTTCGTGAGCAGCGGGTATTTAAGAGTATCCAGTATTTACTAAGTTGCTGCCAATAATCTCATTTAATTTTTGTTTCATTATATTAAAGAAACTAAAATAAAATTGCCATTGGAAAATATTAGCCTCGGATAATATTCATGAATATTTCCCACGACTAAAAATTTTATGTATGGGGTTTCAAGTAAATTTTTTATGTTTACTGGAGAGAAGAATAATTAACTAGGATTTATTAAAAAAAAATAAGTAAACTAAGCGTGCAATGGCGGTTTTCTTGCTTTTGTCGGCCCAAGCAACTATCCTTCAAAACATTATATTCTATTTTTCTTTTAGCCGGTGTTTCATTTTAAAAATAATATTGTTAGAGATATGACCACATAGTCGAACATTACAGAGCTTTAATTTATCTAATATACAAAATGGGATATCAACTAGCTAAGTAAAATGTCCATCTTATTTATTCTAAGAAAAATAATAAAACTATTAATTTATGATTAACAATTATGAGATGTGATGGATACTGTTAAAAAGATATTGAATAGGGTGACCTTTAATTCGCGTCAAACTTTTTGGGAGGATGATAAGTAAGGATTTCAAAAAGTTAATGTTAAATTAGAATTTCTTTAACATGAAAATTTTTAAATTCAGTATTTCTTCTCTCATATTTTAATATTAAAATTCTCAATTTGACCTTAACTTTTTTATAAAATCCTCACTTGTCATTCTCCCCAACTTTTTATCCTCCCCCAAAAAGTCGCAACACGCCTTAGTTGTTAAGAAATGAGAAGGTCCCCCCCCCCCCCCCCCCCCCCCCCCCCAGCCATGAAGAAATCAAAAGCACATGGAATAGAGTAGTGGGGAAGAAGGTGAAACGTCATGATTTTCTAAAGCCTCAAGAAAAAGAATTTCACTCACAGGCACAGAAAAGAAAAAACAATAGAAGGATGATTGGATTGTGATCCCCACTCCACATGCTATTGGCTCCTTGAATTTTAAAAAATAAGATTTGAATTAGATGAGTAAATTATACTTATTCATTAATGAGTATTTCAATTATAATTATTTAATTTTATCAATGCTTAAAAATTATTAAAATACATCTTTTCTAAAAATTCAACATATTATCATGATAAAAACAGTCCCCTGTATATGTTGCCCCCTTCAAAAAATTGAACGTGGATGCTTTTAGAGTATTATACAACAATCTCAATAATTGTTCAACTAAATCAAATGATTACTAATATATTATGTGAAGTGCTCATTGAGTGAATAAACTTATATCAATCAACGGTCCAAGTCCTTTAAAAATATTTTAGATCTTAAATTTAAAGTGTTGAGAGGAAAAGAGAATAACAATTAACAATTAATATTTTCATGGTACAAAATTACTACCCTTTCCTTCTCAAATTATATAACACTTTTGAAGAAATTTTTTATTTCAAAATATAATACATTTTGAATAGATTAAGATTATTAAATGCACTAATTTTATTATTATCTTTTCTCTTTCTATAATTAATTTTCGTCCTTCTCTTTTCTATATATTAAATGATGAATGTTTTTAAAAATTTACATGTTTATTTTAAAAAGATAAAATTATCAAATATATTTATTGAGGTTTATTAGTATGTGAGATTTTATCTAAAAATATTTTATAATTTAAAATAGGGCAGTTTTTTTTTATACAAAAAACATTAAGTGAATTGGGTCCCTACATTGAGGCTCAAAGAACATTTATAAATATGCTTATAAATTACTCATCAATAAAGTCTTTAGAATAGTAGTTAGATTTGAAATCACAATTTTATACATTATAGTTTAAATATTTACCAACTGGGCCAGCTCAATTGCTTTGTTAGCTCCCCTTTTAAGTCGACAGAGAAGATTAAAAATACACACACAAATTATGAATGATAAGCTTCACTTTAATTTTTATCATAGTAATTAGTTTTCAATATTAGGATCAGGACACAGGCGTCCGTAACTCAAATTTCGCCATCACCATTCGGCTACGTCAGGCTATTTGCTATCTGCAGAAGTGCGTTTATATCCAACAACAAAAAACAGTTCGATTAGTCACAATAAAAACGTTTTAACAGAAATTATGAAATATGTGGTTCTAAATAATTAGAACCGATAATTTGAGCCGAGTTCGACAGGTTAGCCTGAACCCGCTCAAAAAAAGTTAAAGTCAAACTTAAAGAAATATAATTTTTTTTAACTTCAGGTACCCGAATAAAAAAATTTAATTTTACAAAATATATTAAATATGATTAATATTAATTAATTAATTAAGTTTTATATATTTTATACTAAAATAGTATATATTTGAGTCCTAAACATCATTTAAATATAAAAATATATATTTTACATTTTTATAAAATACAATAATTAATTTTAAAGTGAAAATTAATTAAAAATAATTTTAAAAATAAAAATTTAAGTATTCAAGCTGTCGAAAACTCAAAAAATTCGAACTGAACTTGACTATTCAAGCTTTTTAAAAATTGGACTTATTCAGCCCCATACACTCAAATTTCTAGCTCTGCAGACAATACCCTAATACATCACCTTCATAGGTCCTCATGATCTACAGAGATCTTAAATGCTGCTCTACATCACTGGAACTCATTCTTGTGACCAGTGACCACCAAGGACGTTTCATAGAATTAGATTTTTTTTAATAGATTATTCAAAAAATATTTGGCTATTTTGATTTTTGTTTTATTTTTTAATTTTTTTAAAACTGTTATATAACAAATTTTTAAAATTGTTATTCAAAGGTTGGTAAAAAAAATTGTTATTCAAAATAAAATAAAAAATTACTTAGTTATGTCAATTAAAAACAGTTTTAAAATTAAAAAACGAACCGATAGTGATAATTATAGGTAGTTAATGATAGTGATTGATAATAAAAATTAATCAAAATAACAATTCTTCCATCTCAAATTATAGGATACTTTTAAAAAGTTTTTCGTCTCAAAATATAAAACACTTTGAGTAGATTAAAATTTCATTAAATACACTATTTTAGTATTACCATTTCTCTCTTTATAATTAATTTCTATCCCTTTACTTCTCAATGTATTAAATGATGATTATTTTTAAAAATTATATTTTTATTTTTAAAAGATAAAGTTATTAAATATATTTAATATGATTTATTGATATGTAAAATTTCATCTAAAAATATCCTATCATTTAGAATAGAGAAATATAATTTTTAATAATTAAATATAATATATTTTAAAAATAAAAAATGAAAACAACTTGAAATTGTTTCTTTTTTTCATAAAAACAAAAATGACAATAATTTAAAAAATAATTAAAAAAAACACTTAACTAAATAAGTTTTTAAGTTTTTCTGTTATCAAAAATAAAAAACAGTATTTAAAAAAGGAAAACAAAACCCATTGTATCTACAATATATTTTAATAATCAAATATAACATATTTTAAAAATAAAAAAATGAAAACAACTTGAAGTTGTTTATATTTTTTGATTTAAAAACAAAGAATGAAAATAATTTAAAATACAATTAAATGAAAAACACTTAACTAAATAAGTTATTAAATTTTTCTGTTTTCAAAAATAAAAAATAGTTTTTAAAAACAAACCCATTGTATCCATGAAACTCACGCCTTAAAGGGGTATTTGGTAGGAGAGGAGAAGAGCCTCTCCTCTTGTTTGGTCTTGTTTGGGTCTGAAAAATTGGAGGGGAGGGAATTTTTTTTAAAATCTCCCTCCCCTCCCTCCAAATTGGGAGGATTGGGAAAGAAGGGGTAAAATTTTTTATACCCTAATTAATATGCCCTTTGTGATAAATTTAAAAAATGAAAATACATTTTCTATAATATCTCAACATTAATAAAACGAGAGTAAAATTGTCTATATACAATTATTTTTCCTCCCTTGCCCTCCTAAACCAAACAAGATAACATGAAACCCCCTTCCCCTCCATTAAAACTCCTTCCCTCCCCTTGAACCAAATACACCCTGAAAGAGCTACAAACCTATTGAGTTTCACAGCATCCACGTATTCAACAAGGGTAATTAAAGAAATAACAAGTGGCTCATATTTATGATTAGCCTATAGATATAAAAACCACCAAAATGGTGGCCGCTAAACAGAAGAAAAGAAAGTTCTCAAGTTAATCGTTAGCACTGCTCTCCAACTTTAGTTAGTGAAGCAAATAGAGAAAAGAGAAAACACAAATCACGCCGATGAAAAACCAAGAGAAAGGGGAGATGTCCCTGGATGATTTAATAAGCAGGACATGAAAAACTACAAAGAATGACCTCACTTGATTTCAAGATATGGGGAGTTTTCCCGTCCAAAAAATTCTATCATCTTCAAGAACATCTAAAACAAATAACATGAGATCTACAAGAGGTGAACATTCTTCAATCTTGACTGTCTGGGCAATCATTTAACTTGTTATCATGAAATAGAAAACAATCGCATGTCCGCTTGATTTTCCAGATGTAACCAATGTCAATTGTAAATTGACACCACTAGTGTTTGGACAAGTTGAAATGAGATAAACACAGAAGCTACATTCCTTCTTAACTCACCCGAGCTATGTTTGGTGTAAAGTGGGAAGGAGAAAACTTGCAACTACAATGTTTAGGCATTCTACCATCTTGATAGATTGCCATTTTATAAATCCCTCCAGAAAAGCATAGGCACAGTCCCGATTGAGTAATGTCAAGATCAATATCCAGTTTCCTACGAGAACATAAAGGCTAAAAAGTATTTCTCATGTCCCAATCCCGTTTTGCATGAGAGCAAAGTTAGTTTACTAAGTTTTTTTTTTCCTGCATGCATTTTCTCTTTGTTAATCCATCAGCACCGAGTGACTGGATCACATGTGCAATTCTCCCTTCTCAACAAAATCTATTTTTCTCCTTGCAAAATCAAAATAAGATCGAGGAGAATGATCAGATTACTAACCTGGAATTGCATCCATAAAACAACAGAGAACAATCAACCGATAAATTCAGCATACCACATTGCCTTGATAGCAGATACTGAGCAGTACCATAGACAAGAATAATGGGATGTAAAATTTGCACTAGAATACTCATGGATTCTAAAGCTACAATTGTAAGGTTATTGCAATCCAAAACCATAGAATTATATTGTTTCAATCTCGATATAAAGTGAATCAGCAATCATTCTCCGAATGCTTCCCCCTGGATCAAACCTAACTGATACAGATTAAAACATTCCCAGAGAAAACCGAACCGAAGAATTAATCTAACCTAAACGGTTCATTCACTTCTGAGGCGGTGGACCCATGGAAGTGGGAGTACCGAGGAGGCTGGCCTGCTGGAGCTCGAGCTCGTTCAACTGCTGCTCGCGGTCCATCTCGATAATCAGTGGAACGACAAGAATGAGGAAGGTGGTGCCAGCGATCCACGCGGCCTTACCGGTGCTCTTGAGGAGCTTCTTGGTGACGAAAGCGGCGTCCCGGCAACCTCCTTGCCCTTGGAGACGAGAGGGGACTGTGAAAGCTTGGAGATGATACCGGTGGGTTGATTCCTAGTGGGCCTATCGGGGAGCGATGCTCCACCTCTACGACCTTGGGACGCCATGAGAATTGAGAAGAGGAGGGAAGAAGAGGATTCACTGCGAAAAAAGTGCTTTTCCTGCGGCCGTCACTGTGAGATCACTCAAACACTCCTCCCAGCCCAGCGAGCTAGGTTTAGAGGGGAAATCTTGACCCGAGAAGCGAGGACGGCCGTGTAATGCTCTAGCATTTTATGTGCCCTGGCCTTGGGCGGTCTATTCAATTTGATTATTTCATCAGGTCATTTTAATTGATCAATAAAATAGTAGTGAAAACACAATACAGTGACAACATAAATAAACCATCATTATTTTACCAAAAAAAAATAAATAAACCATCATTATATGGATAACTATAAAACTAATTCATAGTTACTTTAATATTATATTATTAATTTTTGTTCACAAGAGTTTTTAAAAAATATTAATATAATGTGAAAGGGAAAATTGCTAATTTCTAATCATGAGAGGAATATGATAAAAATGTGATTTCAATTTTTTGGAATCCAACCGCCCGGTGTCTAAAAGTTAAATTGAAGTTTGACTAATCCAAATTGAGTCAGAAATCAAAATGATCACGATAATAGAACCCTCGCAATTTATATGAATGTAATTTTTTATGAAATATAGATATTAATTATTTTAAAAAACATTTTAAAATTTTTTAAAATGCTATTTTTAACATGTAAACCTTAGAGAGAATTACTCTCAAAGCCCGCACAAGGATTTCAATTATCCTAAAATCTCATGAAATGTGTAAATATAAATGGCCACTAATAAATAAATCTATAGATTGTAAATATATTTTTGTGCGGTTATAGAAATACCCTTACATTATTTTATTTTAAAAAAAAAAATATAATCCATCCACCACCCGTCATTGGAGTTTTAGGGACCGGCTGTGGATAAATTTTGAAAATGTTGGTCTTGAAAAATTAACTACATGATTCTTGTAACCATTCGGCAACTAGTGGTGAAGGCTGGTAGCCTGCTGTGGATGAGTTTTATTTTTAAAAAATAAAATAATGTAAGAGTATTTTGTAATTATACAAAATATACTTGCAATTAAAAGTTTTATGAGACTTTTAGGGTAATTGAAATTATTTCTCTCCAAACTTTATTAAAATAATTATGGAAATATTTTTTCAACTAATGCAACATAAATATTGAATCTTAAAAATAAGGTTTAACATAATTTAATGAAATACATGCGGAAAAATGAAAAAGGAGAAGTGCAAGCTCACTCTGGATGTTGCATAGTTCATCAATGGTACGAATCTTTGTGAATTCTACATTTCGTTCAAGTTGGCCCCGCTTATGATAATTTGTTAATGAAAAATTAATCTTCCAGTTCTTTAAATTTCAACTAGTTTAAAATTTAGTTTTTTAAATATAACTAAAAACCCCTCATGTGATGCACGGGATAAAAAAAATTAACTTATTTCTTTTTCAACATAATATTATAAAAATATGATAATTTTTTTACTGAATGTTAATAATCATAATCATGCATGCTTTAATTTTTTTTAAAACAAAGCAGAAAAAAATTATGAACATAAAAAATGTTAAAAAAATGTATTTTGAAAAAAATTAAAAGATAATTTAAAAAATATATAAATATAAATATGTTAATATAATAACATTAAAAATAATATAAAAAATAATTTTTAAGTGTTAGTAATATTGGTAAAACATGCTTTAATTTTTTTAATAAAATAAAAAATAAGTATAACAAAAAGTAGAGAAAAACAATAAAATTTTTATTTAAAAACTATTGCTGGGTCCCACAATTAATGTTAAGTGTCCCACAATTACTGTTAATTTCACGGTTTAAGTAACAGTGAATTTTTTTACACTTTACAATAGAATATTAGATAAGATAACTTGTTTTAAAAAAGCTAAAATAATTATAAATATAAAAAATGTTAAAAAATTGTACTTTAAAAAAAATTAAAAGATAATTTGATAAAATAAAAAATAAGTATGACGAAAAAATATATTGTATCAGAAAGTTGAGAAAAACAATAAAATTTTTATTTAAAAAATATTTCTGGGTCCCACAATTACTGTTAATTTCACTGATTAAGTAGCAGTGAATTTTTTTATATTTTACGGTAGATATAAGATAAGATATGATAAGGTAATTTGTTTTAAATAAAGGGGAAAAAATTGTGAACTTTAAAAAAGCATTAAAAAATGTATTTTGAAAAAATGGAAAGATAATTTGAAAAGTATATAAATACAGAGATGTTAGTATAATAACATAAAAATCTAATATAAAAAATAATTTTTAAGTGTTAGTAGTCTTGGTAAAACATGCTCTACTTTGTTTAGTAAAATAAAAAAAATAAATGTAACAAAAAATACATTGTAACAAAAAGTTCATAAAAAGGACAAAATTTTTTAAAAAAATATTTCTGAGTCCCACAATTATTTTAAGCTTGGTCCTACAATAAGTGCAAGGAATAATGATTTTTTAATATTTTATAATTGATAAGATTAATGCAATTCAATCTTTAATTTAAATTACTAAAAATTTTATGTTTGGTATTTCATTCATTTATATTCTTCTCCTTGCTCTCCATAACTCAACTTAAACAACATTCTACATGGGAAAGAAATTATGAATTAGCATCTTTACAAGTGCCAAATCAAATATTGAACAAGCAAGTAACCAAAAATATAAATAAATAAAACAATTCATACGAGCTTCTAATTGAAATCTTGATATTAATAACATACATGTAGAAGAGGAGGAAAAAGGAGATAGATTGAAGAAGGAAATCAAGATGATTCAATTTTCTTGGCAACATAAGTAGAGATGAATCCAGAAATTGTTTTATAGGGGCTATAATTGAAATCTTATTTAAAAGTGGGGGGTAAAGGTATTTTAGCATTTTTTATAAAAATTAACTCACCATTTACAAAGGAAATTTTGAGACATTAGGGGGCAGAGATTCATCACTAAGCATAAGGAAATCAAGATCATAGTGGAGCTAGTGACCTCATGACATCTATGGTGACATGAACATGGGGGTGGAAGGACTAGCTATCAAAATGGTTTAAATCAAATTTTATTATATCTTGACACTTTTCTTGGCTTGGATTTAAAATTTGATTATAAAAACAACAATTTTTTTGAACAAGCATAACAAGCAAAGTTCATCAGCAATAAAGATGATTTCCAAAGAGATACTAAGAACAAAAAATATAACTCACCTAATTAAGTTTTCATTTCGAGCACACAAGCACTTATCTCAACCCTCAACTACCTGAGAGGGGTGATACACGCATACCTATCACATTCATTAATTAGTTATAGTTTGTTGTATTAAGGCTCAATCTTGTCTCTGTATTTTTTTATGAGTGTTGGTACCATGTACTCTTAAATGGGACAAATTTTCCCTTAAACTACCTTTTAAAGGAGTAAAAATCTCTATCTACCAATTAGCTATTTATTTTTTCGTTATCTAGTGATTTGTTATTGTATGGGGCCTAGGAAAAACTGATTTGGCATAGTTAAGCTTCCTTTTAACCAAGTGCGTGGCTCTCCTTGTTATACCATTAAAGGCGTAAATCAAAAGGAATATCTCATCATCTTCTTCATTCTCCGCCTCCCCTCCATTAGTTGTAGCAGCAGCATATTAGATATCAGGCATAGCCAAAATATCACCTTGAAATCTCCCGCTATGAACTAATTTTTTGAGAAGCAAAAATGTCATTCTTGAATGCTTAATCCCTCCAACTTGGAATAGATTGCCATTTTCTTGCCTATTTTCAAACCATTTAAAGTGAACATATTTACAAGAAAATCAAGTGTTTCTTTATAATCAAGTGCAAGAAAATCAATCACAACCCTATAAATTGGACAAGAAAATTAATCATGAAAGAATCAACTCATTCACAAATCCATAAACCCATAAATCACAATAGCAATTAGCAACCAATTCAACATAAATATAAAAAAATTATAAGAATAAAATTGTGTTAGGGTTGTCGCAACTTCAAAAATTTGGATTGCTAGGAAATATAAACCTAAATCAAATCTAGATCAGAGTCAACAACCTTGCTTTTGATGCTCAAGTGCAGCTTCTTACTCTGTTCATCCATATACTTCTTATAGTAAGCAATAAGGGCTTTGGCAATGCTTTGGCGAATGGTGTATATCTAAGAGGCGTGACCATTGCCCTCGACTTTGACGCACATGTCTACGTCAGCAAAATGACATTTTCCTAACATAAGAATAGGTTTGAAGGCTTTAAATCAAAGAATCTTTGATTGTATGAGTTCAATTAGACAACCACTGATCTTGATGAGTTTAAGATCGTGCTTGCAGTGAGTCATGATGACGTCAATCTTCTTGTAACATTAAACTTCTTCAATTAGCTATACTTGTATAAAGTCTTCTTTACTAATCCATAATTAATCCCAGTATCATAAATAATTAGGGAATCAACCCATAACAATTACCAAGTTTGTAAAACAAGATAGGGTCTTGATTTTTTTTAAGTTTTAAAACACATCAATATCATTATCAATTCAAAAATTAGAGTCAAAGATATATGTAGAAGCATAGGATCTAACACAAACAAAACCATTTGCAATAAAGTTGAAAACTAAAAACTGTGTAAAAGGAAATAAAGGCGCATTATGTCTTGTTTCACGTGTGCCACGTCACATTTGCCTTAGTGCCATGCCCCGCGGCTTGTGGCATAGACAATAATTTTTCACTTTTCTTCCTCTGTCCTTGCCAGGTAGCTCACCATCGATTTGGACCCACTTATAGGGCTAAAATCATAACAATTATGCCAAGTTAAGTCCCTCTGGCTACACCTCATTGACTCACTAATTACCCTCATTAGGTTAATAAACTAGGGTTAAATTTTCCTGGATGTTACATGTCACATGCCGCGACGCATGAGCTATTAGAACATGAAACTCACCTCTTTGTACCATATATCAAGGCTTTTTGCAAAAATAAGTTGCGAATCAGACGTGAAAAATAGAAGAAAAGAATAAAAAATAAAGAGGATGAAGAGGGATTTGTTAAGGCTTCAATTCCAAGGAGATTATAGCCTTATAGGTCTTGCTAAATTACTAAACCCTAAGGGTAAGTTTCCTAGTCCCTTCCTTTCCCTTTCCAACCCACTTTCTTAAGTTGTTAGTTAGGATTTGATAATGGGAGAACAAT